TGCACCATTATCTGCCTGCATATGACGAACCACTATGTAATTCCTATGTATTTATTTTATGCTTCTATTTTTTTTTGTTCTCATGAAGTCTTTTTTTCATACAAAGTCAACGTTCCTCTTCACTATTTCGACCTACTTTCAAATGATGAGTTTTTTAATTATTTTTATTTCGTCTTATTTTTTGTTCTCCGTACTATCAACGTCACTCACGATCCTAAACTCGTTATTGTGCCTCCCTCCCCTGTATAGTAGAGCGGGGTTGTGAAGAGGATTGAATTTAAAGTCTGAATCAGAAGATGAAAAATACATACTGTGCACCTTTTCACAAACACGCTCAGATTCAAACATTAAATTCGATCATTTTTGCTAATCCTTTTTCTCTGTCTCTCTCTCTGTCTCTCTGTCTCTCTCTCTCTCTCTCTCTTAACGTTTATGCCCCAACATAGTAAATTATTTTTTTCCCTCGCATGTCCACATGGTAAAGAGAGAGAGGGAGAATGACGAGGAAAGTGGTGGATATTGAGGAGGAAACATGAGAGCACAGAACGAGAAGAAACATGAGAATAAATGAGAATGAGGAAAGGAGATGGAAATGAAGTAGTAGTGAAAGGAAGACGAGAAAATTGCGGTAGCGATGGTTTACTTTAATTTGTACTCCACCTTTATATTGTTGTCTTAAATGTGCCACATGATATAGCAATGGTGGTTTGATAATCATGAAATTTGCCAATTTACTTCATGTCTATCAACAATATGAAAATCCCGATCTCCATGAAAGCAAAAAGTAGTGAGTGATTTAGCAACTACTGCATGAACGTGAATAGAATGCTCAATCATCACAACTTTATCTTTACCAAACGTTGCCATGAATATAATATAATGATTGAACAATGAATTTTATATTTGTGTGAAGTCATTACTTGGAGTACTTAAAAATTCTTGTTATATAATTGATCATTTGTTTCCTCCATGAGTTGTGTCTGTGTTACAATGTCAATTTTGATCTTTCATTATCTCAACGACTAATGTGCATTTATTGTCTTTGATTTTTTGTTTTTTTTATGTGTCTTTATGACAGGTATTTTTCCTTCGATTATTGATTTAAAATTTTTAATTTCTCAAGTAAGCTTCCCCTCACACTCCTTCATCAACCACGACGGGAAAACTTACCATTGCGTTTGAACTACATCTTAATCAACAAAAAAATTCCCACGAGAAATGAAAGTTGAAAAAACATTCCATAAAAAATGAATCCTTCATATTTATAAATTTATCATTCCAATGTCCAATTCTAAAATTTTCAATTTAATTTGATGAGTTCCCGTCTAAATATTTGCTTTTCCTTCCAACTACATTTATTTGTTCAAAATGAAATGAAAGTCATGACGAGTTTATGAAATGTTTTAATTAAACTTTCATTCTGCTACAACAAATATCTTCTAATTGAGATTGGATTAACTTGTTTATGACTGGAAATCCTTACTTAGAATGACACTCCAATTTATTTCATGAACTCATCCTGACTTTCATTCCATCTCTAGCATGCAGTTTAAATAAGAAGGGAAACTACATTCTTGGAAGGAAAGTTTTCAAGTAAGATGGAAAATTTTAAAATTGGAATTACAGTTTTTAAGATGGAATGAAAATTTAAAATTTAGAATGTAATTTTACTCTATAATTATTATTTAACTTTGGAAAAATTTTCTGTTGATTGGACAAACACCCAGATTCTGTGCCACCAACTATGTGTACATGGTCATTGGAGAGCGTCCGTCCGGTTCTACATGAGGACGATGGACAGCCATATCTGCCATTGTTGTTGTTTTGAGTTTGGCGAGGTAGTGGGGGGATTATGTTGTGAGACTGGCGAGGAGGAGGAGTGTGAGGAGAAACTCAGTTGTACATATGTTGCTGTTGAATTCTCTTCAATTTTATTAAGGAAGGATGTTGCACAAACCTTCATGGCTAAAGAGGTTGGGAGCATTGATTGATGTTGCAGAAAAGATTCATCAACCATGTGTCAGTACAAGAGAGGGTGCATACATTGAAGTGGTGAGGATGCTTAGCAGTCCAAAGGAGGAGAGAGCAACAATCCTCTCTCACTTTTTAGTGTATTATCCCTTGTTGGTCTATCTATACTCTCCCTATGTTGGTCCGCTGACATGAAACATATCTTTGAGTAAAATTTGGACTTGCATTGTGGACTATTCTCTCCACACTATGAGTAATCTTTATGACATTGTTGATTGGCTTTTTATGCCAACCGGGCTCAGTTCATAGAATTGTGAGGGGAGTGAAGTCAAGTGTAGAGAGAGAGAGAGAGAGAGAGAGAGAGAGAGAGAGAGAGAGGGGGGGGGGGGGAAAAAAAAAAAAAAAAAAAAAAAAAAAAAAAAAAAAAAAACACGCAGAGATGCAGACAGAGAGACAAAGATTTACACGGACACATGATGCAAGACAAACAAACAGGAACAGAGAGAGGGAGTCCAACCTAAGTATGATATTTTTTCACTTGGTACGAAGTTGGTGCTGCAAGGCTCTTGAATAGTGTTGTAACATCTTGAGATGTTTATTTTTAAAATCTTATTGCTTTTGCTCATTCTGCTGCTCCTTTCTTTTTTATTTTTTTAATATATTTTTTTAATAAACATCACGAAATTCAGGTTACCTGCTAATGAAGGTGATAGGAGTGCCCCCCATTAACATGCCCCTCTTTGTTGATGGCTCCATTATAGCGGGTTCAACGTCCCTTATCACGACTTTGAACATGACAGATGAGTGCAGGAGATAAAATTATCATCTACATTTTAGTAAGGGCTAATGTGGAGTTTGAGTCTAGTTGAGATGGTGTGGTGACAGACAGAGTGTAACAAACACACAGAAGTGTGACGAACACAAAGAGCAGTACACACATCGTCACAGATATGACACGTAGATGTAAACCAGAAAGTTCAATGGTTCCACTTGTCCAACCAACAACCCAGAAACCGCCGCGTACCACAGTCCATCCCGCATTGAGGTCCGCCGTCGTCACGGTCAGAGTCAATACGGGACCAAAGAGGCATGATTAATCTACTCCTATGTATTTATGGAAGCAACAACAAAAATTCCAATGCGGTCCTACCTCCTCAGCTGAGGTCGGTCAACCGGGATAGACCAAAAGCGAAACCAGGTACCGCTACCAGTACCACGACAACAGGTAACCTGGTCCAATCCGGGGACAAAACCAGGTTCTCGAAAATAAGGTCCGACACCAAAGTGCACTCAACTGGTACTAGGTTCGAACCTCGTTAACCAACAATCAAATCAACAATCAACAGGCCCAACCGGTGGGAAACACAAACTTAGCAAACAAAACTAAAGACAGTCCTACCCCAAAGCAAACAAAGCTAAGCTTACCGCTATGGGACTAACCCTGTCCACACATAGCTCTAAAACTCATCACATACGAACTCGATAGTCCGTCTCCACAACCCATCTCGCTGACTGCCGAAACGTTGGAAGGTCCTGTTCACGAATCTCAGAGGAAAATCTTTCTTGACCAATTCACGTTGCAATCCCAAAACTCGTCCCGAGATCTCTGATCGGATCGAAGTATTTTGCTGGATCCGGTGCAATTGGCTACCAATTGTAGCACTCTTTTGTTTCTTACTACCCCACGAATGGAAGGATTGACCGTTCTTTATAGTCAACTTCTCCTAGTTCCAGATGCACCTTTCGTTTCTTGACAGCTGGACACATCCCACGAACGGGTAAGACTGCTGAGTTATAATTTCACAACCCAGGAACTTAGTCTTGCCTGATCCATCATCGGTTCTTTTCAGTACAAGTCCATCCGGGTAGCAATCCGTCAAAGCCCTGACGATTCTCCTTCGTGTCTCCTCATCTTGGCTTGACACGATTAGTAATACATCATCGATCAGTCTTAGGGCCCCAAACATTCTGCAGCTCTGCCCGAGGGAGCACGTCATTTGATACTCAAAAAATGCACACATGATGCATGCAATGGGTGGACTCATGCTCTTACCCAAAGGCACACCTACTACTTATCTGAGTAGAACGCCAATAGCAAAGAAGTAGGTGTGTTCAACTTCCAGGTGCACAAACTGCTTGATTGTCACTAGATCGATTTTCTTCCAGTGATCAGCTCCCGCGGTCAAGCCAAGCGACGCCCCCTTTCCTCGCGTGTTAACCCGTACGAACTCGTGGCCTTTCGACATATGTTGATCGATGATCCAATCTACCGCATTCAGGATCGACTGGTGGGGCAACTAAGAAAACATTTCCTTAATATCAAAGGAATATGAACTAATCAATCGGTCACCAGGTAGCCTATCCAGCTTCTTGTTGATTCCTTGCAATTGCGTTAACAGATCAGAAACAGCGCGCAGGTTGAAATGCCACCTCTTTGGCAGACTGCTCAGGAGGTGGTTCAATCCCTTACTCATCAAACGTGCAGTTTTTACCATTGGTTCGGTAAACGATGGACAAATGGGTCTGAACTTATCCAGGTCCTTGTGTTTTAGAATTACATATGCAGACCCAAACGAACCCTTGGTGTCCCAGCTTACCGACTTGTTGATACCACGACGCTGAGTATCTTCACGGATTTCCCGCATGATTTCTTCCTCCGAGGTATCAACAATTCGGTAACCAGGATTGCAGATGAACGTGCTCAACATGGCTTCATAGTACGTGACCGGACACATAGCAACAGGCTCTCATGGGTTCCTATCGACAGGCGAGATCACCAACCCTTTCAGACGTGCTTTCAAAGTAACGACATCACTCAATGACAAGCAAGAAGAACGTCCATTTCCGGTGTCAAACATGCAGACAAGTCAATCTTTAGACAATCGGGGATAACACCCCCCAAGTTTTTCCAGTTCGAGAAACCCTCTCGTAATTCCATTCGCAAGAGTTCCAATCTATTGGGTGCCTCGATCTTCGGCACGTTGTTCGAGTTCGACAACAGCGGGTGCAAGTCCGCTACCTTGCTGAGTCGAAACTTAATGTGTTCATTAACACGCGGGAAGTCCATACCTGAACAAACACAGGTAAGCACACCATTAGTCGCGGCACGTCTATGGTTGTGCAAAAGGTCGGCTACCGTAGAGTTCTTAGTCTCTACGGTGCGAGTCTTTCTGCGTGCACGAAGAGCAAAGCACGTCGGTAGTTGACAAGTCATCAACAAGTCATTCACCACTTTCCTTACTTCGGAAACCACAATACGGTCATAATACTTGATCTTGGACGTAAGATCAGATGCCAGGCTCAACTGAAACTTCTCACGAAATCCTCGCGAAATCAACCTACGCAGATACTTCCTAGTTAACTTCCTGCTAAAGTCCTTGATTGCATGGTAGATTCGTAGCCATGCCTTAATCCCCCAATGGTGGATATCGTGCAACTTCCGTGGGTTACGTAAGATCCCGATGAGCACCTTCTTCAAGTATCCCCCCTTGCTTTCCACTTGACCACATGCACAACTTCCACACGCCCATCCGTTTCCAGTCCTACCTTACATTCCTTAAGGGTACATACTCGTGAGTCAAGACTCAACTTCGTATCCCCGAAGGTCTTACGAATAGTCTTCCAATTAGGAACCCAATCCGTCCCCCCCTTGTGAAAGTATCACGCAAGGTCGATTACCTTTCTCCAACCGATCTTCCAAGAAGGCATGCAGGTCGATAAAGTTACACTCGCTTTTTTCCGAAAAGAAACGGACGGGTCTAATTACCTTTAGTGGTCGGACAATCTCCTTCCCTCTCCTTCTTTCCCTCTCCCTTCTGCCTGGCTTCTTCTTCCTGCTTCCATTCCCGGATCTAGTCCCCACAGTATTCAAAAACGGTGACCAACGACTAATATAGAGACTCTCCAGTTTAATCAAGTCTTTACCCACGAAAATATCCACAGGTATTAACAAGTAATTACCACACCCAAAGGACGCGATCCATCTATGGAAGTGGGACTGGGTTTTCTTCCTAACTACATATAGATGCTCCCGCCATCGCACAGTACAAGTCCGAATTGTCTTCCCGACATAACAGGCTTTGCAATAGGGGGAAATCGCTACGTATACCACATTTGATAATCCCAAGAAATCTAATCCGTGTGTATCATACAATTGTAACCAAGCACCCACGTACATGTTAAGCCAACGGATCTGATTGCATATGGCAAGTAGAATAACTACTAGTCGTAATAGTTCTTCCCACTTACCATTCATGCTCTCTTGGGAACATCGGAGCTTCGTGATATACCTGCATAACTCCCACCAGCGATTCAGGGGTACTTCCGATCACCCTTCCGTTCCTACCGATTCTTCCACTTCAGTTGATCCCAGATCGATTGGGGGCACGTCGATCGCTTTGACCTCCCCGTCTCGTCCGAAGTGTCGCTGCGCGCGGTGTTCCGAGAGGCAAAAGATGGCGTCCAACTTGCCATCGTAATGTAAGCCCTCCTCTCGGTACATTCGTTGCAGTTCCTCCGCATTACAATCCTTTATCTCTTTAATGACTGCGTCGCAGAATCGCAATCTGGCTAGCGCTTTACTTGCCGACGTCAACCTCCCAGTCGGAGGTGTCTTCTTTGACTTGTTCATCTTTGACAACGGGGTTTTCACAGGTGTGCGTATCTTAGCAGGAATCACCAAACGTTGGCCCTTCGCCTTACTCTTCGAGCGAAGCAAGCGTGTGTTCGGGATGTCGGGCTTGAGGCCCAATCTTCCCAGTGTCCGCTTGGCCGGCAGTTCCATTGGAGGACTGTCCTCCATCTTGACATCCTCTTCTCGTTTCCTCTTCTCGGACAGGCAAAGTCTCCCCGTCTTTTCGCTCAGTTCCTGCGTAACACTAGTCTCGCTCCCTTCGGTATTGTAATCAGACCCTTCGTCCTCGACGGAGATGACTTTCACGACTTTCTTCCCCTTCACATCTTTGATCTCTCCTGCAGTTTCCGGTAACGCAGTCGCCTTCCACTGTTGCAGCCATTCATCCTTAATCTCGCAGATCATTCTCGCAGCATGTAGTGTCACCTCCTTCTTCATCTCGGCTCTCGCGACGTTCTCCTTCTTAGCTTTCTCATCTTTCTTCTTCTTCTTCGCTGCACGTCTCGCTTCTTCCTCAGCGCGTTGTTGTTCCTCTTCTTCTTCCCTCCGCTTGGCTTCCTCCTTGAGTTTTTCCTTCTCCCACTTCTTCCGAGCTTTCTCCTCCTTCTTCGCGCGTACCTCATCAAAGTGTTCCTTGATAGTCGCAATCCCTAATGAAAGCTCCGCTACCTTAGCTCTCAACTCCGATTCCCCTTGCGGATTAGGCCGACAGCCATACTCCGGAGGTCTTGGCGAACGAGATCGTCGTGAATCCGTCGATGTCGAGGGTCAGCTGACCCTTCTGCTCCGCTGAGGGCATTGATTAGCATAGTGACCCTCTCCATCGCAATTGAAGCAAATTACTGGCCGATACGGCCGGCGATCCCGATTAGCACGTTCTTCTTCGCGTCTTCGATCATAACTCTCTCGGTCATCCTCTCGACGCCCAGAGGTCGACATCTTGACACAGTACACAATACTGGTACAAAACACTGGTAAGGGTAACACAAACACGCTCACTCCAAACCCGGTAATCCTCCCCAGGCAAGTTCATGTGCGCTGTAACTGAGTTGAGATGGTGTGGTGACAGACAGAGTGTGACAAACACACAGAAGTGTGACGAACACAAAGAGCAGTACACACATCGTCACAGATATGACACGTAGATGTAAACCAGAAAGTTCAATGGTTCCACTTGTCCRACCAACAACCCAGAAACCGCCACGTACCACAGTCCCCCCCGCATTGTGGTCCGCCGTCGTCACGGTCAGAGTCAATACGGGACCAAAGAGGCATGACTAATCTACTCCTACGTATTTATGGAAGCAACAACAAAAGTTCCAATGAGGTCCTACCTCCTCAGCTGAGGTCGGTCGACCGGGATAGACCAAGAGCGAAACCAGGTACCGCTACCAGTACCACAACAACAGGTAACCTGGTCCAATCCGGGGACAAAACCGGATTCTCGAAAATAGGGTCCGACACCAGAGTGCACCCAACTGGTACTAGATTCGAACCTCATTAACCAACAATGAAATCAACAATCAACAGGCCCAACCGGCGGGCGAAAATCCAGAGTCAAACACAAACTTAGCAAACAAAACTAAAGACAGTCCTACCCCAAAGCAAACAAAGCTAAGCTTACCGCTAATGTGGAGTTTGTCCACAAGAAAAAAAACCAGAGTACTTTACCCCAGTTTGCATCCACCGCACTGCTAATCCTGCATTTACCACATTTTTCTTGACGGACTCCTTTGTCCTTTCTTTTAGTGTCTCTGTATCCTGGCTCACCGTGATCTCTCTTAGCATCGTTTCAACCCTAGAAATTTTGAAAACGCGTATTTCGTTGATCCTTATAAACGCGTATTTCATCGATGTGTTTGGCCGGTGATGCCTTGCCCACTGAGGGTCCCACCTAATTTTGTAAGGGACGCCAGACCCGGTTCCGGACTTTTATAAAGACATTGTTCACTTAAAGAAAAACAAAAAAAAACATAAATAAATAAATAAAATAAATTTGATTTTATTTATTTTTAATTATTATTTGGCCCGGCTGGGTTAGTGGGCCTGGACTTCTCTGGTAGCCTAGATAAGATTTCAAATTAAAGTATGTCTCATTTTATAAAATTTGAAAAATCAGTTGGAGTTCTAAATGAGAAACTAGACAACTGGTAGGAGATTCTGATGTATAAACTGGGATTCCAGGGGAAGTATGAGAATAGGTGTGGGAAAGGGGCCCAACTGGCACTTATGCCCAAATCTCACGAGTGCAACGTCCCCAACACATCCGAGAGAATTGGAAAGGGTGTAGATTGGTTATCACAACGAGTGCAATTCAGTCAATCCCCTTTGCGTGAAGCGTAACCAGTGCTGCATGCGACAACTTAAATAGATGTTTCTTGTTGTCCGACACACTTTTCTCCGACCTTGGGGGCACCCTGTGTGCCGAAAAACAAACCGGGCCGGGGCGTTGATGAAAATCATTATAGGCTGCCAATGGGGACACCCTACGCGCCGAAGCCAATGGGGACACCCTGCGTGCCGAAGCCAATGGGGACACCCCGTGTGCCGAAAAACGAACAGGCGCGGACCGCTGATGAAAATCATCATCGGCCGCCAATGCCCCCAGAAATTGGGGTGCATATACGTCAAGGGCATATGGGCCAACTATTGGTAGGACGCTGGACCCCTTTTCCAAAAGGTGTTGCTCCGCCTTCCAAAGAAATGTTTTCACATCCCAGATTGTCAGAGGAGCGGGGTGGCAAGCATCACTCACCCTGAAACTCGCTCGGGTGAGCAGTGCAGCAAGGCCCTTGTGAATGTATCGCCCTTACGAATAGGGTATAGTGCGTATAGAGCCCTTAGGAATAGTGTGTATATAGGGCCTCGCTCGGCACCGCTTGAACTCAAGGGTTGACGGAAATTCTTCGTTCCACCCCTCCCTAATGACCCCGCCTTAATGTTTTCACTTTCCTGCTCTCAAGTGTGCATACTTGAAACTCACGTGCTGCCAGGGCAAAATCGCACTTGAACTCAAGGTACTCAAGGTACCTCCCGGAGGTACCTTGAGTTCAAGTGCCCGCAGATACCGCCACCACTCCAAGTGGGGCTTTTTTTTTCCTTTTCTTTTTTTCCAGCAGGCGATCCTGGTCCAGGGTTGGTCAGCAAGCCGTGGAGTTTGGTTTCAAGTGCAGAGATCCTGTTCAAGGGTTTCCTCAAGTGTATATGGAACCAGAAATCCAGTAAGTGTAAATTAATCACAATTTCTCATTTAGTGTGCACTTGAAACTCGAAGTATTTTCAAGTGGTGTCGAACGAGGCCCATAGCCCTTACGAATAGTGTGTAGTGTATGCCCTTTGGAAAAACAAAAACGAAAACAAAAATAAAAAACAAAAACAAAAATAAAAGTAAAAGCAAAAAAAAATTCGATGCGGTCGAGGCTCGAATCGCGCGCCTGCGCTTCGCGCGCGTCCAGTCTTCGTCGTGCGCCGCCGTCTGCTTTCCGACGAGGAAGACCGCTCGTCTCCCGCGCTCTCTTCTCTCTCTCTCTCTCTCTCTCTCTCTCCCTCTCCCTCAGAGTACAGTGGCGGGCATTCATTAGCGGCAGGTATTTTTGCTCACTCCCTTACACTTCTCTGCCAGTTTTCTCCTCTCTCTCTCTCTCTCTCTGGTCCTTCGTCCATTTTCCCTCCTCTTTGGTCTACTTCCGCCCTGTCTCCCTCTCTGTCTCTCTCTCGTCTCTCCTCCATTTTCCCTTCTCCTTGATCTTCTTCCATCCTCTCTCTCTCTCTCTCTCTCTCTCTCTCTCTCTCTCTCTCTCTCTCTCTCTCTCTCTCTCTCTCTCTCTCTCTCTCTCTCCAATTTATCTTCTCCTGGGTCCGCTTCCATCCTTCTACTTCCATGCTTTTCATGCTGCTTTACTTCTTCCCGTTCCTCTCTGTCCTTCCGTACTCGTATTCCTTTTGTCCCTTTTTCTCCTCTCATCCCCTTCGTTGCCCTCCCCCCCGCCCTCTCCTCTTAATCCCTACTACTATCGTCTCCTCCCACTCCCTACTCCTTACTCGCTACTACCTACTACTGCTGCTGCTGCTGGTGCCCCTGCTTTGCCTTTCTTTTTTTTTCGTTTTTTTTTCCTTCGCTTGTTTCCTTTTTTCCTTGTTTCACTCCCATTCGATTCTGTCCTCCTCCTGTCACCTGCCCCTGCTTTGCCCTTTTTTTTT